GACTCCTCTCTCCTTAATATACTATAGCCAGTAAGGTACAAAAAACCTGTCCAAATCCACTTCCATAACATTTCTCATGTCCTCTCATGTCCTCTCCTCTCTATCCCAATGGCTCCAACTCCATATAGGCTCATTACCACCTAGCTGATTACTATAGTAACATTATTATAAGTCTTCCCACCTCCAGTCCATCCTTCAAATGGGTGCCAGACTTATTTTCTTGGAATATAAATTTGGTCATGCCACTCATCTATTCAAAAAATTTCAGTCCCTCTTTACAGCTTATTTCTTTCAAACTGTTTTGTCTGGAACTGGAGGACCTACAATAAAACTATCTTATTTTTCCAGCTTTACATCTCATACTACCCCACACATTTTATGCTCCTGCCAAATAGGACCACTCACCATTTCCTACTCTCCATGCTCCCAGCTCTGTATCTTTACTGACACTTCCATACTACTGGAATGCTGTCTTTGCCCATAGAATTCCTATCCATCCATTAAAATCCAACTCAAACACCACCTCTTTCATTAAGCTTTTCCTGCCTCTCTCCATTCCACAGCTACTTAAGAACTTCCACTCCACCCTGACCTCACAAAGAGAGTCACAAAACAAAATGCTAACATTATTATTATTGATGAGGCATTAACTGGGTAGCCTCCAATCTCCCCCAGATCCTAACACAGTGCTCTGCTCTTAGAACGCACTTGATGAATTTCTGGAAGTGAAAAATTAGCTGGAACAACACTCTCTACCGCCAAATTTTAAAATAAAATATTTCCCCCACCAAGTCCTCAAATGGGTCAAAAATAGTTTTGACAACAGACAAATGAGTCTGGATAACTGGGTATAACACTACCCAAAGACAGAGAAAGAGCTCTACTAACTGATCTCCTACGAATTCTCCCAACCTTAAAGATCCTAAGCTCTGACAGGGATTGTAATATGTTCTGAAACAAAAATTAGTAAATGTAGTCTGATGAAGGATATCACTTTTTTGTGAAGCCTCATTAAAAGAAGACCTTCTCCTAAAATCAGGACTATCTCGGGAAATCTGGAACGTGATCGCTGTAGACAAGGCAGCACGCGGCCTGAACACAAGCATCCAGCAGAATGCCAGAGTCAAACAGTACAGTAACAGAGGCTCAGTGTCCATCCATGATAAAGAAAACTTCGAATATCAAATATACTCTCAGATACCTCTTATGTTGGTTCCTGGTTCTCTGAGAAGCCCCAATCACAGGTACTTTTCTCTCTTAATGCTATATCTCTCCTTGGTTTCCCTCCAGATGTACTGAGCTATTCCCCTACTTGAAAACATGATGATGTGGATCATAATAATATTCAAAGAGCAGTTTGAAGTCTGCAAAGTGCTTTCTTTACAACATAGGAGTCTGGTAGTTACATTTTACAGGTGGGAAAATCAAGGCTCAAAGATGTTAAGTGACTTACCTATAGTCACACTGCTGGTGTCAGAACCAGAACTCTAACCCGGGTCTTCCAAATCCACTGCTCTTCCCACTATACCACACGCCCTCTCATGTACTCCTTCGAAGCTAAAGTCTAGGGAACAATGTGTGGTGGAAGGAGCACTGAATTTAGAGTAAGATCTAGGTTTGAGTCCCAGGTGAGCTGCTTACTTGCTGTAAGTCAAGTCATCTCTGAGCCTCAGTTTTCTGATCTGTAAAATGGAGATAGCAATATTTGCATTCCCAACACATCAGAAAACTCAAAGTGTTATAAATACAAACTATGTTACCCAGAAAAGAAAAGCAGCATAGATACAAAATGCTTATAATCTAGGAATCAACAACACATTTCAGATTCACAATAGTGCCTGGCACACAGGAAGCAATTACTAAATGTTATAGAGTGATTACAACTAATATAAGCTACATTTTCTTTAAAGAGCTCAGGGTTAGTCGAAGCCTTTAGCCTACTTCCCATCCATTGTGCCAGACTGGCACTGGGTTACTCAAGTTTTCACAATCATAAAATGCACAGAACACTGCTGGATTCTGTACTCAGAAAACTCCCACCAAAAAATGGTAGTACAGGTATAAAGAGAAATTTCTCAAAGAAAAATATTCCAAATCTCTTAGAACCTCAACAATTCCCTTCCATCCACGACAACTACAAGAACGCAGAACTAACGAACATAGGCACCATTCAAATTTCAACAGGCATACCTTGTAGTTAACAACTTACCTTCTTTTCAATCATAGCTCCTCCAGCCAGGAGTTTTCCCTAATTAGCCATCTTTCTGACCCCCTAGAATAACCTCACACTTACCTTACCCCTCAATATACTTTTACACATTTATTTCTGCTAAAAAGGACTATCTTTTCTATCAGACTATAAGCTACCAGGAATAAAGCTCAGGTCTTTTCCTGCTACCTGGAGGTATACCCTGTTACACATCCTATGGCCAGGTAATGATTAATGCGTATTTATATTGCACACTCTAGAGTTAACAAAAGCTCTTTTCTCATTACACCCTGGAAGATATGCAATACAAGTATTACTACCCCATTCTGGAGCTGAGGAAATAGGCTTAGAGTTAAACGATTTGGCCAAGGCCACACACAGGTATGTAAGTGTTAGAGCCAAGATTCAATCCCTATTTCCTGACTCCAAGTTCAGGGATCTTTCCACCACTCCTCACTGCTTCTCTAATAACCAAAATTTTTTTTACTATATATATGAACAATGCCTCCCATGGGCAACAAACCAAACATTTAAGTTTCATATCACAATCTACCAATGGAGAAAAAAAATCAAAAGACTGAGACACTGAAATACCACAAATCTAAAAGGAAGCAAACACTTAAAGTGTCAACTGATCAAAAAGAGATACTGAGGAGACATCATATAGGATCATATATTCAGAAATGGAAGGGACTTTAGAGATCACCTAGCCCTAGTCCAACTTCTTCAATTTAAGGATGCGGAAACTGAGGTCCAGAGAGGGGATACAATTTGCTTCAGGTCATGATCATACTGCAGCAAGCACAAGCACAAGCACTGGTATTTGAACCCAAGTCCTCTGACTTCTGATCCAGCACTCTTTCTATGATACCACAGTTTCCCTTTGGGGTCTCTCTTTGTCCCTGCATTATTTAGCAACTATCAATGACTTAAATAAAGACAAAGATTGTTATCAATCTGCAGATGACTTAATGCCAGGGTCAGCTAACAGGTCTAATTTAAAATGTCCTTAAAAGGTTAAAACCCTGGGCTAAATCTAACAAGATAAAATTTAAAGGAGAGAAATGTAAATCTTACATTTGAGTTCAAAAAAAACAACCAAGACAAGCCAGACTGTTTAAATGGTACAACCCAGCATTGTCTGAAGTAACAAAGACTACCTGGAAGAGAGAATAGTAGTTATTCTCTGATGCCATTTGACCAGGTTAGGGCTACACTTCTAATATCTCTAGCCCTTACACTCAATAAAATGTTTATAACAATAACTTATATTCATAAAGCATGTCTTATAGTGACAAAGTACTTTACTGTCTCACTTGAGCTTCACTCCTTAGCAGGAAGTATATATATTATTCTCCTCAAAAAAAAAAAAGGCTCAGAGTAGTCAGGGCATTCAAGTATTAAGTGGCAAAGGTGGTTCCACACCAACTCTAGGGATCTTTCCATAATAACCCAGTATGTTCTAATAAATATTTGATGAATAAACGCTGACCCCTTATGGAACTTTCAGCCTGAAATTTATTATGGTAATAATAGCAGTTATATGGTGCTTTTAAGGTTTGCAAAGTTCTATATACTTGAAGCTATTCACATTTTCAAAATACACAAACTAATTACCAATTGCTGTAGAACGTAGCACTTTCACTAGTCCTAAAACTGCTTCAACCTACAAACTTCAAAGGGGATGGGATAGAGTCAGGACAGTTCTATGGTTCTCTGGATTTGATGAACAAGTTGGGGCTTCCCAGTCTTTTTTTCAAAATAAGGTCCCAATCATTTGGAGTCAGGACAGTTCTGTGGTCCTCTGGATTTGAAGAACAAATTGGGGCTTCCCAGTCTTTTTTCAAAATAAGGTCCCAACCATTTAGTCCCTTTAGGGAAATAAGAATGCAGAGAAATAACTGCAGTCCAAGGAATTAATTTGTCCATCAAGGGGAATGAAGTTAAAGCAAAGGACTCACTCCCTATTCCATAAGCATACTGGACAAGGACATAAGTAAACAAGAGACATCTCAACATCAAGAGTTGGGGAGGGAGAGAGGGAGAAGGAGGGGAAAGAAACCACATTGACCGAAAAGAGGGACAGCAGCCTCAGAGCCGCGACAGGCTGATGCCACAAGAGCAGAAGGAAAGGAAGGCCAGGATCCACTGCCTCTGTCAAAGCCTTAACGACAGCCAGCCCCACCTATCCACAAGCACCCCGGAAGCAACACAGCTCCTCATTCCCAGGTGAGTCCTCATCCCCAAACGAGAGCAGTGGGGGCCAAGGTCTGGTGCAAGAAGACAGAACCTAGGGCCAACGTTGGCTGATGTGCCCCTAGCTAGGCCAATTCCCCACCACCACCACCCCCACCACAATTTCCCCAGGAGGGAGGGTGGAAGAAAAACCGGAAAAATATAATAAGAGATTAAAGATGAAAGAGCAGAGGGACAAAACACTTATCCTACACCCTTTCCTACATGGGAACTCTTCCCCGTCATCCTGCCCTTTACTCCAACCAGGACGTCTCTCCCATTTGTCCCCCACTCTTCCTTCCTAAATCTTCCCCCTAAATCAGGACCCTTCCCCCTTCCTTTACTCCAACCAGGACCCCCTCCCCCACCAACTCCTCCTCCTCCCCTAACCAGGACCCCCTCCCCCTCCCCTAACCAGGACCCCTTGTGTCCCCTGGCTCTATTCCCCCTAACTAGGACCTCGGCATTTACACCACGCTGAGTTCCCTCCCTTGTTGCCTCTATTAGGTGGAGGAATGCAAAAGAAAGAAAAACTTTTTTTTTAAACTCTCCCCACCATTACCGCTCTCACTGCCGCGTTAGAGAAAACCTGGGGTCTCGGAGGTTAAACGCGTGTCTTGCCCCGCCCCTACCAGCTCCAGCAGCTCGACTCCACAGCGCCCCCCCCCCCCGCCCCGCCCCGCCCCCACCGCCTTTCCAGAGCGTTTGCGCACTAGGGTCTCCCGGGCCCCATTCCACGCCTGCGCACGTACGAGCGTGCCTTCGCCATGTGTGCGTTAGGGGGTGGGCCCCGGGCGGTCGGCGGCGACGCTGCCTCGCCCCCTCCTGCTTCCCCCCTCCCTTCCCCCGCCTTCCCCCCTCTTCCCCCGCCTTAACTTCGGTCTCTCCCCGCCCCTCCTCTTCCTCCTACCCAATCCCTCCCTCCCTCCTCTGGCCTCCCTCCTCCCCTAGCCGGGAGCCGCGGCCGCCTCAGGAGCCCGGAGCCCAAGCGGCCCAGCGACACCCCCTCCCCCTGCCCCCGCCCACCCCGGCCCCGAGCCCGGACCCGAGCCTCGGAGCGGGAGCCGAGTCTGCGCCCGAGGGTGAGTAGGCGACCCCTCCCCGCTCCCCCACCCCCTATTCCCGAAAATCCTCCCTGGTCTAAAACCCGAGAATTTAATTATGCGGACCACCTCCCCAAAAAAAACCTCCTGACCCCCACCCGGGATCCAAATGCGCCCCGCGCTGTATCCAGCCTCCGTCCTCGGGGCATCCAGCTATTCGGGGGGCCCCCACCCTACCTCTTCGCCCACCTGCCCAGTCCAGGTGTGTGCCCCCTCCCCCACGATGCGCCCTCCAGGGTTCCTTTCCCCTCCCCGCCGCCCGCCCTTTTTTCGGGGATCCAGATGTTGTCTTCCCCTCCCCCTCCCCCGGCCGAAGCTTTAGTTTGGTGGGTTGGGGTTGCTTTTTGTTGTTTTGGGGTGTTTTTTGTTGGGTTTTTTTTTGTTTATTTGCGGGGTGGAGAGAGAAGGGAACGGTGTCGCATGATCTGATAGACTCCGTGGATTTTACCGCCGCCCCCCCCCGAACACAAACACGCGAGCGCGCGCGCACACACACACACACACACACACATACACACACACGCACGCACGTACACGAGTGGAATCTTTCCCTGCGCTGGGCCCCGGGCTGCGGTATGACTGCTCTGTGTCCCCTGGCCCAGACTGGGGGGGATTGAGCCGGGGTGATCTAGAGAGAGCCTGCTGGGGGGTGTGGAGGGGGGTTGTGTGTGTGTGTGTGTGTGTGTGTTGTGAGTGTCCTTCCACCCCAGCACAATGCAGACTTATTCACCGCGGTGGCCCGAGGCTTGCTGGAAAGGGCGGTGGGAAGATCTAGGCTGGACGGGGCTAGTTCGGAGGAGCCTGGGCCTTCGGGGAACCTGAGGCTTCTCAAAGGCACTCCTTTTCTGCCTGAGGGTGGGGATAGGTAAGGATAGGCTACTGCCCCTTGTCCTGCGTGGAGGCCGACGGGGTGTTGGAGAATGGAGAGGTCAGTGGGGGAGGTGGGAGCCTGGCTGTCCTTGGTGCTGCCACCTGCTTGGGTCATTGTGGGCATAGGCCTGGCATCCACAAGGGATGTCCAGCCACGATTCTGGTGTCTCCTGTAGCCCAGAAAGAAAATACGTGTGATGTGTGTATGTTGGGGGGGGGGTTACCCTTGCTTCTGCCTACTAGGGTGCTGATGTCAACTCAGAGGGTTATATGAACATTGAGGTACTGGAGTAGGGAGTGTCTACCCAACTGCTGAGGAACACTGCCTTCCCTCTCCTCCCTACCCTGAGTGGAAAGAAAAGGTTGGCATGGCTGCCCTCCAGGGCATTGGGGTGGCATGAGAGTCCAGGCCCTGGCATGCCCAAAGTATTGCATGCTGGGACCTGTAGTTCAGCCTGTCTTTCCCTGATGGGTAGAGGGAAAATGATAGATTGGCATCCGCCTATCCTATACCCTCCTAGGTCATAGAAACATAGGATGCCATTCAGTGCTAGAAGAGGTTTTTAAGATCATTGTTCTAGCCTAATACTCTCATTTTCACAGAGGAGAAGAAGGATAAAGCAAAATGACTTGGCCAAGGTCACACAGCTAATTAGTTGCAGAACCAACACTAGAGCCCAGGTCTTGTGGTTCCCAGTCCAAAGCTCTTTTCATTATACCACACTGCCTTCCTCTCTGGTCCTGAGCAGCGCCACCATTACTCAGATGTGACTGAAGGGCACAAGGGGAATATAGTGGACTTGGAAACAGCTCTGGTGGAAAGCCCCAAATAAAGGATAGCACAGGAAAGACCCTTTGTCACATTTTCAAAATAAGCTTAATCAAAGCTATCTTCACTTAAACAAGCCCAAAGTAAACCCTGTTGGTTTTGTGTTTGTTGTTTTTTTATTTTTTGTTTTTAACCAGCCTCTTCCCCCACTAAACAACCTGACAGTAACAAGTCCCTGTTGTGCCACAGAATTTCTCTTAAGAAAGCAAAAGCTAAATTAGAACTAGAAAAAAGATTAGAAATCATTTAGTCACACAACCACACACACACACACACACACACACACGTTTTATAGATGTGGAAACTAAGGTCTAGAAAGTGACATGATCCAGGTTGCAGGATTCGTCAATGGTAGAGTCAGGATACCGGCCTCAGTCTCCTTGGCTACTATCTTTTTTCTATAGGTAAAAACTTGCAGTGACCTGCAATTTAAATCCAGGAAGGACCTCCTGGTGGGAGAAATTTACCCTCAAAGCAAATAAACCCTGAGTCATGAATGGCCACACTTGATAGCTGTTTGTACCACCTGGGTTAACCGTGAAGTTATAGAAAATCCGGAGAAGTTGGAGGTTGAGTAAAGTTATCATCCAGTGGGAGAACTGGAGGGTCTAGAGAAACTTAAATTTTATACCATCACCAGTCCCCAAGGCAGCTAATTGGTGCAGTGGATAAAGAACTGAGCTGAGTCAGGAAGACCTGAGTTCAGAGGTGGTCACACTAGTTTTGTGTGACCTTAGACAAGTCACTTCACCTGTTTGCCTCAGTTTCCTCAACTGTAGAATGGGGGTGGTAACAGATCCTACTTCAAAGGATTGTTATGACAATCAAATGAGATAATATTTGTAAAGCACAATGCCTGGCACATAGTAAATGCTACGTAAAATGCTTATTCCCTCCTCCCTTCAAGTTACTTTGATAATAAGTAATCTTTTTCATTCTTATATTACTTTTACTTTTCAGGCCCATTCTCAAAAGTTTTATCCTTACTAGGACATTTCTGCCCAAGGCAGAGACGTTAACATCCCTCTGTTATGAACAGAAAGATAGAGAATTGGAGAAGGTTAGGGATTTGTCCAAGGTCACAGAGTCACCTAGCTAAAACTAGAGCCCTGGTCTCTTTATCTATTAACCAAGGCATCCTTCTGATGGAATATACTTTCTGACTGTAATTACAAGTCCTAAATTACAATTTCCCTTGCAGTTCTGCAATAATAAACTTTAAGCTGTAACCCTCTCCCTTCACCCATTGTCACCTTACAATAGCAAAACCCTGAGTTGGCCTGAAAATAAACCCTTTGCCAACTTAAATTAAGCATCTTAATCAAACTAGGAGACTATCTTGATACCACTGGCAGCCCAGTAGAAGGAGGAAAGTTACTGCCTGTCATAAGAATTCCAGTCTGGTCTCTTGTAGAAGTATTGTGCTGCAGCGAAAATTATACTGGTTTGGATATCAGAAGACCAAAGTTCCTAGTTTTGCTCTTTACTAGCTGTTTTACTTTGGGCAAGTCATTTAACCGTTCTCCACCTAGGTCTTCTCTTCTGTAAAATGCAGATAATAATACCTACAAAACCAACTTGGGACCATAGGACTTAGAGCCAGATAAGAGGGAACTTGGAAATCATCTCTAGTCATTGGGGCATTGTGAATATCGGATGAAATAATGTGCATAAAGTTCTTTATAAACTATACAGTGCTATATAAATGTGAACTATATATTCTTCTCCAGCGCTCTTCAAAATCTTAAACTGCATAAAACCTGTTCCTCTGCCCCCTTAGCCTCCCACCATCACCTCTGCCATTTTTCTCTTCCTTCTGCTCATTTCCTCTACTTCCATTGATCCTACAACAACCATAGCTAGAATAACTGTCCAGCAGAGTTCCTTAACTAACAAAGCAGCTGGCATGACTCTTACCTACTCACCCTGATTGGGTGGTTAGGTCATGAAGGTCCCTTGCCCTCGGGGATATGGGGAATGGGAGTAGGCAGTGCCACACAAACTTCTAGGATCCCCTGAAATGGAAGGGGGACAGGACATTGGAGCTTGAGAGGGATTTATCTTTGTATCTTGACCTCAGAATGTGCCTTTAGTGCAGAAGAGATGTATTGCAACAACCTCTGGGTAAAAGGGGATTGTTTTGAGATGGAGAGGGACTTTGAGCCTACGTTGTACCCTTAACTTAAAGTTACAGTCTTCTGGGTACTTTTGTTTACATACCCAGGTTCATAACACACACAACTCCCCAAGTATACAACAGAGATGCACCTACCTGAGCGACAGCCCATAACTGATATATGTTGCATCTTCACACCAGGACTGGCATTATATACCTATACACTCAAAGCAGTTCAATAATTCAATAAGCATTTATTAATTGCTCTTAAATGCATAGAGCTTTTACCTAGGCACTGGGAAGAGGGAGGTAGTCTCCCCTATATACATAGGTACACAGCCATGTGCCATTCATATGGTCTCTGTGAACTGGCTCCCCCTTCTCCTACTTCCCTCCTAAATTCCTCTGTATGGTGTGGTGGAAAGAATCCTGAATTTGGATTTTCAGTTTCTGTTCTACTTCTTACTAGCTGTGTGATCCCACACCAAACTCTTCCTTACTCTGCACCTTGATTTATTGCTCTCTAAAATGAGAATGATTTCAGCTATTTGATTTCTAATGATCCTGTGAACTTCAAATGCATTACCACTCCCCCTTTCACTACAACCCCCAGTTTGTTAGGTCAGGGAGGTGTCTTGCCCTCCACCTATAGTCAACCCCCAGGGAAAGGCAAGGCGTTGGGGTGAGGGGGCCAAGAATCCCACTGAGTCAGGCTAGGGCCAGTGGGAAGAGGCTGCC